TTTAGAGCTGAGCTACTCAGTAGTGACTTGGCAACCCATCCCGTTGCTTGTGCCTCTGGCTGGCGGTCAGCACAGCTCTGTTGCTCAGAAGCAGCGTGGCTGACTTCCAAGGGCTGGAGAGGCTCCGGGGTTTCCTTTCTCTCCCGTAGTGATGTGTGATCTCTCCGTGGACTCCGTGCCTTTGTTGCTATCTTGGAATTAGTTGCTGAGTGGTGCCTTGCCCTGAGCGAGGCCCAGGAGAAATGATATAAGATATCCTGGAGCCTGTACTAAGTGCTCTGGTGCTGGAGACTGTCACTGCTCCCTACTGATAGTAAAGTCATTCTTGTCCCCAGTGAGGCGACTTTAGCTTTAATTCCAAAAGTTTTTAACTTTCATATGCAGTCCACGAGCCACTGCTGGGTCCTTCAGCTCTCTCTGACACTAGCCTAGGAGTGTGTCAGTGCCAACTGCTTGTGAGGGACCCTACTGTTTTCCTGAGAGTGGTATGAAAAAAGCTTGAGTTCAGGTAGGGCACGGGTGAAGCCTCAGTGGTACGTTATAACCTTACAGCACCTACGCAGGCAGGGAAGTTCCCATGTACCCAGGGACTAGATAAGCCTGTCTGTGGTTGGACTTAGGCTCACCTACTCCTTTCCTGTTCTAGCTCCATGTGTGTCCACATGTGGCTGATGGGAATCTCATTCATCTTTGCTACATAGGTCTCCCTACTAAAGCACCACGCTTCTGTGAATCCCTCTGCATGCATTTAGGCCAGCACCTTTAAAACTGTAATTGCTTGCTGTTTTCACGGGGTAGGCTCTGCCTTCCTCCTGTCTAGCCTCCTCCCGCTGTTGAGCGTCCAGGCGTGCCCATGTGCAGAGCTCAAACACCCCCTCTCCACAGCCTGGATGAAGACTGGCAGGCTCTGCGAGCAGAAAGGCGTTTGGCAGCCAAAGCAGAGGAGTTCTTTGCCAACAGCACCATCTACAGCCAGCTACAAAGAACGGCTCAGAGAGGGCAGGCAGCAGGTTGCGAAACACCGCGGCTGGGTTTACCCATTAATGGGATCCTTCTCTGTTCTGCAGCAACGGGGTGGGGGGCAAGCAGAGAGCAGCCTCCTCAGCCTTCCTTACTGGTGCATTATCCCAGTTTGTAAATAGCTTTCACTTATCTTCTAATATCCTCCCTCGTTCTCCTAATACTCCTTGCTATCTCTTCCCAATACTACTGGTCATCCTGGCTTATCTCACTGAGGCTGTAAATGCTTTGGGGCACAGTGTGTGTCTCATTCTGTGCGAGATGCCATGTACTGACACAGTATAAGATGATGCTTAAAAAGCCTTTTCCTTTTTTCCCTCCCATCTCAAATTTCTTTTGCCAGAATATTGTGATGCTTCCTTTCCAGATTCCTGCCTTTTTTTTCTTGCTGCTTCCAGATCACGTCATTAGCATTGTAACTACAGGACAGGTTCACACAGGGAGATCTGTCTGCCTGGGTGCCCACAACTTTGCTGCACCTGTTGAATCCTGCAGCTCCATGCATTCTGAGATACAACTGACTACATCAAAGTATCGTGTCAGAGGGAGAAGATGGGATGTTCTAGCTTCAAAAGGTCTGCAAGTCTCTTACTTTATTTTTCTAAGGCAGCAACGTTTGACAGGGAAAGAACAGAGCAAACACTATGCTAGTGGAACCATGAGATAAGTTTGCAAAGGCCAGGCAGAGCCTGAGGGGCTCTACCATAAACATGTCTGGGACAGTTGGGATTGGAAACTGGAGAGAAGGAGGCAGGCAGCTGCAAGGTGGGGCCCCTCAGGCTAAAGCTAAAGGTGAGGCCCCTCAGCCCTTGCATGCTAGGGACAGAAGGCAAGAGAGGACAACCCCTGTGTGCCATGACTGCCCTCTGTGCCAGCCCACCCCAAGGGACTGTCAGCACTGGCAGTGCTGTCCTTACTGACTTCTTGTTGGTGGTCCGGATGACACAGCAGCGCTGCTCCTTCTCCACGGAGACGCTGTAGACCTCCTTGGGGTACGGCAGGTTACGGATCCGCCACTGGAAGCTGCTCAGGGTATCCTTCCTCATGAAGACAGGCTACAGCAAACAAATACCTTTAGCAAGGCCCCTCCAGCTGTCTCCTCTCCGTCCCCTTCTTCCTGTACTACCTTAAGAGTCTCCATATGGGAGTTGCTCTTCCCTTACACTGGAGCATTAGGAAGTAATTCAAGAAGCTGCCTGCGCAGCACTTTCCTGGAGCTAGCACTGCTCTGCCTTTACCCAGGGCACTGCCTGCCCTGCTTGTAGGAGGCTGAAAGTGTTCATTGAGGGAGTCTTGCAGTACAGGGTTACAGGGAAACTGGGCCTCTTCCTCACAGGCAACAGAATACTGAGCTCTGCCCTAGGGACCTGCTGGATTCAGTCCTGGCTCTGCCCCAGTTTGCTGTGCAGGGCTGTGCTTGTATTTCTAGTATGTAGAAAAGATGGTGAGAAACTAAAACCTCTGTCCCCTAAGCTCGTGGGACGTGAAGATGAAACAGGCCTTGCTATGGTAAGGAGCAGCCTGCTATGCACCGCGTGTGTCGGCCTTTCATTGTCGTTGCTTCTGCCTTCCATCCACTGACTTGTCCTGGCAGTGGCATTCCTTTCAGCCTACTTTTTTAGAAGCCAGAATAGTAGCTGGCAAACACAGTAGTACAGTTTCTCTACTTAAAGAAACTACACATCTGCTGAAGACCCCAAAAGAACCTAAGCTGTGCCTTCCTTCTATCAGCCCTGCGCCTTTGGGATGATATGTACCAGAGTGGTGGGCAGGACAAGGTTGTCTCTTGTGGCTGTCAGTGATCTGCAGTCTACTATCTACTGCTGTAAGCACAAGAGTAGGTAGTTTTAGCTGCAGTGGTGCCTGCAGACCCTTACATACATTGGAGCTGCTTTCCTTTATGAGCTCTGATTCCAGCGCTCCCAGGAGCGGTGAGGTTGGCTCTCCCACTTCAACCTGCCACTTGCCAGAACCCCCAAGGGTGTTCTTCTCTCTCCATCTTCTACCTGTGGAAGGAGGAAGAAGGTTTTTCATTCTATTCTATAAGAAGAACTCCAGCAAAGACTGAAAAAGCTGTCCAGCACACTGAGATGATAAGAATTATCTTAATGCCAGTCACTTCCACTTTGGTGTGAGTGGATCTGCTACCTGCCCTATTCCTGAAGTCAGAAATTCTGTACTGAGCACCTCTCTTTTTTGCTGCTTGGTGCTGAAGCCACAGTGGGGTTGCAACAGGTGTTGTGCTGCAGCTGATGTGGTTTTGGACAAGAACCATAACCAACACCGTGTTTGTTTGTGGTTGCAGAAGCCACCAAAAAGCATATTTCACCCCAGCACGTGCTACAGGTTCGATGCCTGGCTACCACTGCAAGATGGCAACCTTGTTTAGTCCATCCAAGTCTGTTGTGACAGATAAGCTGTTTGAGAGAGATCCTGGGCTAAAGCAACGTCTGCTACACCATGGAAGTCAGAGGGCCCTGGGCCCAAGCTGCACCATACTTATGTATACTTTTCTTCACTGTGAGGGTGGTCAGAC